CTTCACAGCTCACACTCATCACAGCTCACACTCGCCACAGCTCACACTCGCCACAGCTCACGCTCTTCACAGCTCACGCTCGCCACAGCTCACGCTCGCCACAGCTCACGCTCGCCACAGCTCACGCTCATCACAGCTCACACTCGCCACAGCTCACGCTCGCCACAGCTCACGCTCGCCACAGCTCACGCTCTTCACAGCTCACGCTCATCACAGCTCACGCTCGCCACAGCTCACGCTCACCACAGCTCACACTCTTCACAGCTCACGCTCACACTCTTCATAGCTCACACTCGCCACAGCTCACACTCGCCACAGCTCACACTCATCACAGCTCACACTCGCCACAGCTCACGCTCTTCACAGCTCACGCTCTTCACAGCTCACACTCATCACAGCTCACACTCGCCACAGCTCACGCTCTTCACAGCTCACGCTCGCCACAGCTCACGCTCGCCACAGCTCACGCTCGCCACAGCTCACGCTCACCACAGCTCACACTCTTCACAGCTCACACTCTTCATAGCTCACACTCGCCACAGCTTACACTCACCACAGCTCACACTCATCACAGCTCACTCTTCACAGCTCACACTCGCCACAGCTCACACCCGCCACAGCTCACACTCCTCACAGCTCACACTCCTCACAGCTCACACTCCACAGCTCACACTCCTCACAGCTCACACTCCTCACAGCTCACACCCGCCATAGCTCACACTCCTCACAGCTCACACCCGCCACAGCTCACACTCGTCACAGCTCACGCGCCACAGCTCACAAGCGTTCCTTCGTCAGAGCCACTCTCCAGTGGTGTTTGTAAGGGGAGGGCGCGGGCCCATGGCGCTGGCCATTGGGAAGTGGACATAAGCGGGGACACACGACCCTGCAGGAGTCTCGGTGGGACGCTGTGAGGGACAGGGGCCTGGGCTTGAGCCAGAAAGCCCCGCGTCTACCGGAGGTGCCACGCCTGGCACTTCCCCATGCCCCTCTGGGAATCAATGTCCTTTTGTTTTTTTAACATTTTAATATGGAGAATTTAAAATATAACTTAGAGTGGACAGAATAATATACTGAATGCCTTAGGTGCCCATTACTCAGTTTCTGCTGTTATCAACTTCAGTTATGTCCTGTTCTCTCCCTGCCCCCCACATCTGTGAGCCAACCCCAGACGTGCTACCATGTCATTTGCAAAGATTTCAGTTGCTGTAAAGATAAGGGGCCTTTTTAAAAACTGTAACTGTAGGGCCACTGTGACAGCAACAATAATGTTGACAATGGCTGCTTCCTCAGAAGTATTCACTCACCCTTCAAATGTTCACTTGTCTCATTATTAGCTTTTTTTTTTTTATCCTCACCCGAGGACATTTTTGCATTTATCTTCAGATAGAGCAGGAGGGAGAGAGGAAGGAAGAAAGAGAGAGAGAGAAACATCGATGCAAGAGAGGCACCGTGAGTGGCTGCCACCCACACGACCCGAACCGGGGCCGGGGACAAACTACAATCGAGATACATATTAGCAGGAACCGAACCTGGGACTCTCATCTTTTTTTTTTTTTAGAATTTGTGTGAACCAGGATTCGAATCAAGGTCCACATTGATTCACTGACATGCTTTTAAAGCTTATCTATAAATTCCCTCTGTTTCTCTCTTTTTCTTCCTTACAGTTCATTCACTGAAGAAATTGGGTCATCCGTCCTATAGAAGTGTCGCACAGTGCGGGTTTGGCTCATGGGGCTAATGTTTTTGTCCGTAAAATGGGCATGATCATTCTCTCCAGAATCTAAATCAGACGATGTCTGTGAATGGGCACTGGCCATTGGAAGGCACCCCACACACAATGTCATGTGTTAATATATCTTTTGAGCCTTTCAGTACCCTGTGGCTTCTGCTTTTCTGATGATATAGCTGGGGTTCCGAGAAGCTGGGCAGACTGCCCAGGCTCACGCAGCGACTCAGAGTGAGGAAATGGGATGACAGAACTGAAAGCCCTTTGACTTCAGGGGGAGACCCAGATTCGAATCCCACCGCCCCCCTTTCATAGCTTAATGGCCTCAGGTTTCTGTTCTTCGAGCCTCAGTTTCTTCATTTGTACAAAACGGCCAGCAGGCCAGACCTGCATGAGGTTAGAATGAGTGACCAACTGAGAACAGCTGCTCCGGGGGCTGCACAGTCCCTGCCAGACCCCACTCTGCAGCGCTGCCTCCCTCCACCTGGACCCAGTCTGCCCAGCGCCCCCTCAGGCTGGCAGAGACAGGGTGGGCGGCCCTCGGAGGCTGGGCACGCTCTGTTCTCAGGCAGCCTGGGCAGGCGGCCGTGACCTCTTGGGCTACAGGAAACAATCAGCTATTCTTCCTCCTCCCCCTCTGTTTTGCTGGTCATCCCTGGGGCCCAGGAGTCCAGAGGGAAATGCTCCGACCCCCAGCAGTGCCCAGCCCACCCCTGCAGCCCAAAGGCATGGTTCCCAGGCATCGGCCTTGGCTCCAACCAACCTAAGCCTAAGTTAGAGTTCACAGCAGAGCTGACGCCTATATAGATATATTTTTTTAATCCTCACCTGAGGATATTTTTCTATTTATTTCGATAGAGTGGGAGGGAGGGAGAGAGAGAAAAAAAGAGGGAGAGAGGGAGAAACATTGACTGGTTGCCTCTTGCACAACCCCAACCAGGGCCAGAGATGAACCGCAACCAAGGCACATGCCATTGACCGGAATCGAACCCTCGACTCACGGTCTGCGGGCCAACACTCTAACCGCTGAGCCAAACCAGCCAAGGTTGACGCCAATCATTTTATGTCTACTCAGGCTCAGTATCATCTACTCACTCAATCAGGAGCATGCTGGGCCTTGTAAATAGTGATAACGACAACAACAACAACAGCCCAAATTTTCATAGCACCTACTCGACGCCAGGCACCGCTCCAAGCACTGTGCATATGAGGCAGGTACTATTAGTGTTCCCATTTTACAGGTGAGGAAACTGAGAGTTTGAATACCTCACCCACAGTCACATAGCCCGTCAGGGACGGAGCTGGAATTTGAATAAAGGTTTGCCTACAAAAAGACAGACATTACAAAGAGAGGGATTTAAATCCAGCTGTTGGCTGCTGCACATGCCAAGCTTCGGGCTAGATGCTTTAATATATTACCTCATTTAATCCTCACAACAGCCTCCAAATATCAACCTTACTGCCCACATTTGCATGTGAGGAAACTGAGGCTCAGAGAGGCTGACGTTGTGCCTACGAGCACACAGCTGGGTCCACTTGACTCCGAGGTCATGCCCTCTCCAAGCTGAGAATAACATCTGGGCGCACACCACCCGAATGCAGATGAGGGGACAGGGGCCCTACAGAAAGGAGAGGACTGCAGGCTAGAGGAACTTGGGAGGGAAAAATCATTTTCCAGAAGCTTCCTAGACAAGGGGTCATGTGGAGAGCTGGGCCCTGAATGGCGGCAAACCCGCCCTCACATCATAGCAGGCTCCTAACTGGGGCCCAGTCCTCTGTTAGGAACTCAGGGTGGCAGGGCTGGCCCCTTCACCAGTTTATAGCTGTGCGGACTGAGACTCTCAGGGTACAGGCTGTCTGAAGTCCCACAGAGAGGCCCCAGACCTCAGTGCTCCGTCCCCCGAAGTCCCTGAACTGTCTGACACTGAGGGGCTTGGAGGTGGCGGCTGACCAGGTCATTGTGTAGCCATGAGGCTGGTTATTTATTGTCTATCCCTCCACCCCACCCAATGGACTGCAAGTGCTCTGAGGGCTGGGGCTGGTGTGTCCTGGTGACCTCTGTCATCCAGTTCCAAGCACAGGGTAGGCACCCAGGAAACAAGTGAAGGGACGGAGAGAGAAAGGGAGGGAGGAAAGAGGGAGGGAGGGGTGAAGGAATGGAGGGAGGGGTAGGATCTTGTACCAAATCTAGGGCCCTGGACTCCAACCCACCCCAGAGCATCAGGACCCTGTGTGAGTATCACATTTCCAGAGCAAGAAACTTCTAGAGAAAGTATTTGTGGATTATGAGCAGTCTCCCTTGGAGGAGGGAAGTTTATGACCGAGACACTCATGCTTGGGGCTAGCCCATGGCACGGGGACAGAGCCCAGTGTGCCCCCGAGAATGAGGGCTGGAGAAGGGAAATACTAGAGAAGCTCACTGGCTGAGCTTCCCGTCAGGTAGTGACCCACTGGTCCCAAGATGCATCAAGCCTGTCACAAGAGGTGTGCCAGCAGGACGGGGACGTTCCGTTCCCCCCAGAATCCTGAAGGGACTCCCAGCGGGGGCCCGGGCTGGTTCAGAAGTCCTCCCAGCTCTGTCCCTGTGATCCCGGGAGCCGGTCTGTGCACCAGGCCGCGGAACTCCTCCTGTCCTGGGCTCTGCGCTGTCCCGACGCGTCATCCGGGACCCTGGGACTGAGGCTGCCTGGGCCAGGCACCGTGCTCTGTTCCTGCTCATGGAATCCTGCCACACCCCACCCCGGGGATGCTGCTCATTGTTGTCCCACCTTGCAGGTGAGAAAGCTGAGGCTCAGAGAGGCCAAGTAGATCCCCCAAAGTTAGGACTAGGAAATGTCACCTGAGCCTGAAACCAAACCAATCAGATCCCAAAGCCACCCCACCTCGCCAGTCCAATTCCAATATCTCTTGGTCCCCAGATTCACTCTTCGAGGCCGGAAACCACAGTTCTTCCCCTGGGGGTGGACCACAGGGCCCCCGACGCCACCACAGCCCCGCCACAGTCAGCTCCGTGGTTTTCCGGACACTCAACCAACAGCATCTTTTACCATAATGGTTCCCACAAGGGGCTGCTGGTCAATTCTCTGCTTGGTTCTCAATTTCTTTTCAAGCGAAGGTGGCTGCGGTCCAAGGGGGACCGTGGGCTGCCCTCCCCAAATGAGTTCTGTTGATCTCACACTCTGGCCACAGTGCATCATTTCAGCTTAATTTTATTTCCTTTTATAAATGGGCACAGCACGGGGAAGTGTTAAAAAAAAAAAAAACCAAAAAAAAACAAACAAAAGCCCCAACATTTCCTTCACAAGGCTGGGACAGGTGAGCACCCACCGCGGGGCAGGCGCCTTGGTCACTTTCCAATCTCTTTCCTCCACTTTTCCTTAAAGTTTTGGCCATGAACTCAGGACAGGTGTGGTTAATAAACAGATTATGAGGAGAGGACAGGGAAGGCCTGGAGCAGGAAAGGACAAACTCCCACCCACCCCAGGACAGGTTCTCGGAGGGCTCTGCACGGGAGAAAGGACGCGGGAGGGACACTGTCTTCAGGGGGCTCTCTGGAGCCTCGCTGCCTACGGAAAGTATTTACATGCATTCGCCACTCTGCGGCCAGGCGCACTGAGCTGCCAGGTGGGCACCTGGGGAGGCTGGGCCTGGGCTCAGTGTCTGTGAATCTGCACAGTTTATGAGCTTCTATTTACAGGCAGGAGGCCTGGGAAGCAAGTCCAGGGTGGTGGCTGTCGGAAGAAATTCAGAGCCGAGGAGGCAGCAGCCACTCCTGCCCCGAGACAGATGGTTTTGCTCCCTGTGCCCAGGGCCCCAGCTGGAGGCACAGACAGATGACTTTGCCAGCCCCAGGGAGGGGCTCAGCCTGAGCACCCCAAGCCACTGCCTGCAGACCTGCCTGGCCCAGCCTTTCAGGAGAGGGACTCCCTCTGGCCCCCTGGGGAGACAGAGCCTGGCTCTGGACATCACAACCGGGGGTGGGTCCACCCTTCAACTCCCCAGCCTGCCTCATGCTCCCTGGCAGCCCAGGCCCCCGAGAGGTTCTCAACCCGCACCAGTTCCCTCTCCTTTGGCACTGGCCGGACTTCCAGGAAATGCCAGGGCCCACCAGACGCCCTCCCCAGGAGTACTGGGGGTCTGGGGGTCTCCCTGGGCAGGGCCTGCACCCACATTGCACCTAGGAGAGCTCCAGCTCGCTCTGAGCTGACCTCTCTTGGACCGCCTTGCCGTCTGGGCTGGCTGGACTGTTAAACTTCATGAGAACAAAGCCTGGACACTTGTCTCAGGTCCAGGGCGCCATGAACGCTGCCCTCAGTCTCCTCTCAGAAGCTGAGGACACAGAAAGGAGGCCAGAAGCCAACCTCAAGAACGCCCAAGTGAGAAGCCAACCTCAGAGGTGAAGAGTCGGGCCTGCTGGGCCAGGCTGGACCCACGCAGGCCGCTCCCCGCCCACTCCAGCAGCCTGAACCCAAGTCACCACCCTGTGCTGGCCCCGCCCCTGCCCTGCCACGGGTCTCCTACCCCGGCCCAGCACCCTGGGTCTCCGGGGGTGGGGACGGGGTCCGGGTCCTCTGCTCCGTGCTCTCTGGTTTCTCAGCCTCGGCCTGCCCAGGCCTTCTCACCAGAGCCGCTGCCCCCCGACAGCAGCCCACGGGGGTCAGGGGAGAGGGAGGCTGGGACTTTGGTGTCCTCCAGCCCTGTGCCCCAGCCCTGCGGCTCCAGGGGTGACTGAGGCCAGGCCACTGCCAACAGTTCGTGAGCCCAGGATACCTCGCCCCATTCCTGTCCCCGTCCAAGGCTGGGACCGCCGGGTTCCTCGCCGCCTCCAGGCCCTACTGAGGGGGCTGCGGGGTCTGATGGAGCCCGGGCCTGGAAGGACGGTGGAACAGACAGGCGTGGAAGCCCCTGGAATCTCGCCCTCTTCACCTCGGGCACTCCCACCCCTCACCCAGCAGAAACCTGTTGCCAGGGCATCTTGAAAAGGGAACAGAAATAAAACCTGGGTTCCTGGCTTTCACCTGGGTTGTAGGTGAGGGGAAGGGGTGTGAGCACCAGCCGACTGCCAAGCAGACCACATTGCCGGGCTCCAAGAGCCCCTGCTGAGCGCGCCCTCCCCAGAGGAGATTTGTGACCCCACATTTAAAATAGCCACAGAAGTGGCCCCACTTGAAAGGGTAAGGAAGGGGGAGGCAGGCTGGGGGCAGCGACACCCCTGCCCCACCTGCTCAGCCCTCGGCCTGGGGCAGGGCGTCTGGGTGGGCTGCTTCCAGCTGCAGGTCCACCCAGCTGCAGCCAGAACTGCCAGGCTGTTTGGCCAAAAAAGCAGATAGGGTGTCCCCGAGGAAGGCCCAGGGAGGACCCCGGGGTAGGGCTGAGGCGGGCCTGGCGAGGCCGAGGGGAGAGGGTGCAGAGGGCCCGGGCGGCAGGGCCCACCCTCACAGGCACTTTGGAGACTTGTGTCCTGGGAGGCAGTCAGCCCCTAGAGCAGGAGGGGGTGCAGGGAGATCAGGAGCCAGACCACACGCTTCCTCCCCACCTGGGGCCTGAGGCTAAACTCCAGGCCAGCCTGCCTTCCCAGCTAGCGGGGGACTGGTCCCGAGCCACCCTCTGCAGGCCACAGGGAGGGAAGCTCGGGGCTGTGCAATGCCCCGAGGGGCTTGTGGTAACATCCCCCGCACCACACTGAGGGAGAGGCAAGGGCCCCCTGTCCTGCAGTGTGAGAGCAGGGCTGTGCCGGGTGAGGGGGTGCGTGGGTCTGACACGCCGGGGTCGGTGGCAATGTGGCTGGTGGGGGTGCTATGGTGAGGATTCAGTACGACAGGGCAACTCAAGGGACCCAATATGGGCTGACTGTTCCGGCTGGATTCCACCCTCCCCAGTGAGCCTGAAGCCGGAGGACACGTATGGTGCCAGACTGTGTGTGTGTGTGCGGCAGGAGGAGAGACAGTGAGGGGAAGCAGGCCACACCATCACCACTGGGTGACGATGACTTGTGACTTGCATTGTCACAGGTGTTTGGGGTGCATGAGAAACACACAAGAAACATCTTTGGGAGAATGTGTGTCTGGGCTGGTGGGGTGGTCAGGATTGCGTATGATTTTCTCATTTCGTGCTTTTGTCTTTGGAGGTGACAATACGTGTGACCTGTGGGAGAGGGTGTCTGAGCAGAGTCCACTTGCACGAGGGAGGTCCAAGGCCCAGCCCTCCTCGCCAGTGGCTGCCAGGGCACTCTCGGGAAGCAAATCCCTCAGGGACAGACTGGAAAGAGGTGAAACCTTTGGGTGCATATGCAGTGGGCGAGGTAAGGGGAGAGTGACCCCATAACCCGGGACAGGCCAGGATAAATCAAGCTGGCGACAAGGGACACACTCTCTCCTGGATGGAAAGGGGCCCTGGGACAGAAGCAAGAGGAGGCGGAGTCTCGGTTTCAAGGACTGAGCTTCGAAATGCTTGTCCTGGAAACCAGCCTGAGTCCCTCTCTGCCCTTAAAAGAAGACCCCAGCCAGTCCCGTGGGGCCAGGTTGGCAGTCAAGCCCATCTCAAGCCCCACCCTTTCTTCCAACAGCCAATCAGGAGCTCCTTTCTTCCTATCCGGCTGACAGGCGGTCCCAAAGCCCCAGGCTGGTGGAGGACAAGAGATGAGCTCGTAAGGGCACAGTCTAGGGCAGATGGCAGTGCCCCGTGCCTCGGGAGAGATCTGTGTGCGGCTGGCAGTCTGGGCAGATCTTAGGAGGGCTGGCAGAGATGAACTGGGGCCAGGCTTCCTCCCAGGCCTGGTCCCAGGCCAGGGCTGATGGGACGGGCCAGGGACTGGACAGAGGGGCAGCGCCGAGGCTCTGGGGAGGCACCGTGGCCCCGCTAAGCGTAGAACTCCTCCTGCTTGTCCGGCTTCTGGTACGTGACACTCGCCTGCTTGGGCTCCTCCAGAGTGTAGCTGCCCTCGTCCTTCTTCTTCATGCGGTAGATGAGCAGGGTGACCAGGAAGGCGGCAAAGAGGGCGCCCACCACCCCGCCCACGATCACAGCTGTGGAGGAAGAGAGCAGAGGTCACACCCAGAGGAGGGGTGGGGGCCAGGAGCTGTAGCTTGGAGCTGAGGGGAGGGTCTGGAGAGAGGGGCGGGGGGAAGGCTGGGAGACTGGAATCTGAAACCCACTGGAGTCCATTCTAACTGCTGCCATTACAGCCCTCACTCCAGCGCGGTCAGCTCTCGTCGCCTAATACACACTAGGCCTTTGACGCCTGATACAGCTCAAGGGTGGTGCTATGGGCCCCATCCAGTGTAGGGCACCATCAGTAGGAGGATGTTCTAGTATTTTATATTCCATTAAGAAAGAAAAACTGCCAACTAAACTGTGACCCATCCCAACCAGAGGAGCGGCATATGAACAGATGTGCACGGAGAATGGATTAAGTGCAAAATGATTATCTCCATTCTACAGGTGACCCAAGGGGAGCCTTGGGGGTGAAGGACCTGCCGAGGCCACACTGCTCCTCCTCATGGGGAGCAGGGATTGGACCCCAGGTCCAGACTCTTCAGGAGAGGTCCCCGTGACTGGGGTCAAGGGTAGGGGCAGATCAAGCCAAAGAATGGCCTTAGAAATTAGGACCCAGGGAGTTAGGTCCAGAGGGGGCGCAACCAGCATGGCCCAAAAAGCAGGGGTCAAGGGCAAAGTCTGAAGAGGGGTCAGAGGGTGCTGAGGAAAGTGCTGGAGGTAACATGAAGTCAGAGGGGAGGACCTGGGAAACTAGCTCCCAGGAAATTCACACCCTCATCATCCTCCATGGCTCCTCCAGGGCAAACTGAGGCCCGAGCCGCTGCCGCACCCTGAGCTCCCCCGGGCCCACGCCTCACCTACGAGCACCTCCTTCCGCTCCAGGATGCTCTTCTGAGGCAGCTGAGCGGCCGAGCTGCCCGAGTCGATGGCATTGTCCAGGAGGCCAGGGCCAGGGCGGGCACCCTTGGGCAGCATCCCGGGTGGCGGCGACGGCTTAGCGTCCGCACCCCCCACAGCCACCACCTCATTAGCTGTGTCTGGCTGCGTGGTCTCTTCCTCCGGCAGCTCAAAGTCCCCGCTGGGCCCCCCACTCACTGGAACCTCTGCTTCATCCCGGATGGTGGTCAGGAAGGACTCTGGAGTTGGGGTCTGTAGAGAGAATGGCATGAGCTCAGGAGCCAGGCCCCAGCACCCCCTGCCATGGGGCAGCCTCCCCCGCCCCCAATAGGCTAACTTATCAAGCACTCTATGTGCCAAGCACTGTGCTAAGCGCATTATGGGCATTTTACCTTCACAACACCTCCATGAAGGAGGTATTCTTATCCCCAATTTACAGAACAGAAAATAGGCTCAGAGAGGTTAAGTGACTTGCCCAAGAACACACAGCTAGTAGAAGCAGAACTAAAATACAGATCTACCCAACTCCAGCATCCGTGTTTCCAGCCATGTAGTACACCGTCCTGTTCTCCCCTGGCTACATATGGCCCCATCCCATCTCTGTGACTTCCCTTCCAGCTGCCTTAGTGGATTCCGTGGAGTTTCTGTTAGGGGAGAGCTGTTACATACTGGGCCTGGGGCAGAGGTGAGTCCCTTAGCCTGGAGGTCAGTTGGAGAGTACAGCTGCAGAGTATGATGCCCCCTGGGGGCAGGTGTCCAGGGAACCAGCCCCGTGAGCATGAATCGGATGGCTCCCACATGTGGGGCAGGACCAGAGCTGGGATGGGGGCAGGGATATAGAGGGTGGACATGGAGGGAGTGGGCATGGAGAGGGTGGGCCTGGAGTCAGAGCTGAGAGGCCACACCAGCAACCTGGCCTCATCACTCTCCCTGCCCACTCAGCCAAGCACCTGTGAAACGCCAGGCTGCCGAGCTGCTCAGAGGCTCGGCCCGCTCCTGCTGGGGCTGACGCTGAGTGCTCCCCTGTGAGGCTGGCTGCAAAGGGCTTTAGGACCCCAACAGTGTCACCATGGACCCTCCTAACCCGGTGTACCCAGCATGGGCCAGGCTACTTCTCCCATCTCCTGGATCCCACCCATCCCCAGCATGCTGCCATCTCTCTCCTCTTCCCTTCACTCATGCCCGGGCCTCTGGAGCCAAATGCCAGGTTCAAACCCTACCTCTGCCATTGCTGGCTGAGGCCTGGGGACAGGGCTTCACCTGTCAAGGGGGATGATCGCAGTGCCATCCGGGGCGCGGGTATGAGGAGAGAGGAGATGGCACAGGTAAAGTGCGTGGCACTGAGCTGCCACCCAGCTACAAGGGGTCCCCAGGGACAGGGTGCCCACCTAGTCTCCCTCAGACTAATAATGATGATAACAACGATGATGGTAACAGCAACACTCAAACTTCTGGTTTGTTTACTACTGCCAGGCATTGTCCTCAGCACGTGGCTATGGCGGGGAACTTAATTCTCTCAACACTACAATTTACATTCTTATTTTCTCCTTTTACAGATAAAGATACAGAGGTACAGAAGGTATGGAACTGATTGGTGGCTTCCTGAAGTCACGTGGCTAGAAAGTGGCGGTGGAAGAATTCCAACCTAGGCTGCCTGGCTCCTGAGTCTGTGCTGTCTCAGAACACACAGGCCCCGGCCCCTCCCCCACCACCATCACCCAGTTCCTTCCCAGCATCCTAAGATCCAGCCTGGTCTCCCTTTCCTCCCCATCCACCTCCACCATCCATCTCGACCGCCTTCCTTACCCTGTGATTCACAGCCAGCCCTGGCCCTTCAGCCCGCCTCTCGCCCTCCCATCCCTGTCTGGCTCACCTCCAGAACCTCCCAGTCCTCACCTCTGCCCAGCTCCACCCTCCCTCCCCAGGCCACCCGCCCTCCTCTGCTCTCACTCCATCCTCTCCCAACCTGCTCACCTGAGCCACCTCCGTTGGTCCGGGGGCTGTGGTCCCCAGGGGCAGGGTGCTCTTCTCGGGGGTGTCAGGCTCCTGGGTGGTAGCTGGCCTGGGAAGGGCCCTTGGCCTGGAGGTAGCTGTACTGACCAGCCGGGGTGTCGGAGCCTCAGTGTCCAAGACAGCCACCGTGGTGGGAGGTGAGGGCGCCGCTGGGGTGGTGGCCCGGGCCGTGGCTGCCGTAGTCAGTGGCAGAGGAAGAAGCCTCCGTATGCCGGTGGTCCGTATGACAGAGGTGGTGGCCGTGGAAGGGGGTGCCGCAGGGATGCTGGGAGCGGCGGTGGCCACTGTGGCCGGCACCAAGGCCACGGTCGGGGCCCCTGTGGTTGTGGCAGCAGTGGTAGCCATGGGTGTGGAGATGATGGTGCCTCTCTGGCTGGGCTCTTCTGGGACCTCTGTCACCACTGGGAGGCTAGTGGCGGGCTCCGGAGTGGGACGCTCAGAGGGGAGCTCTTCAAACGGGGTGCCCACGGGCTGGATGTCCACGGCAGGTAGCACAGCAGATGTGGTGGGCACTGCCAGGGCCACGTCTGGGCTGAACCGCATGGCTGTCTCAATGCCTGACTCCTGCTCGAAGTCTGAGGGGGTGGGGGAGAGGAGACTGCTAGGGATCTGGGTGATTGTGAGGGGCATGAGCAGGAGGGTCCTAGGAAGCAATGGCCACCAAGATGAGGGGCTCCCAACCCTCACTCTGCACAATTTTCCCAGGACAAGATGAGGGAAAGGAGGAAGGCAGTCTGGCTACAGGTTACTAGTTGGCTAATGGCTGGTGGATGTTCCCCAACTCCTCTCTGCCTAGCCAAAAATTCCTCTAGGGGACCACCTCTTCCAGGAAGTCCTCCCTGACTGTCCCAGCCCACCCAGCCTGGAGCTTCTAACAGGTTGTATCCAGGCAGTGGTGACTAAGGGCCTCCTGGCCACGAATCTCACTAAAGGTTGGGGAAAGAGAAAGGGCATTCTGAGAAGAGGCAGTGGTTACATCAAGGGCTCCCTGAGGCACAGGCAGAGGTCAAGGGGTAGAACGACCTCCTACCATCTCATGACACCTGTCCTGCCCACTCACTGTGCTCAAGTCTCAGCACACACCTGGTCAGAGCTCCCTCTGTGCCAGACCCTGATGTCTGATGCTGAAGCCCCCCGGAGACGGAAAGGAAGGTATATTTACCACCATTCACAGGAAAGAACACAGACTCTGAGAGGGAAGCCAGCTTTCTTTACCAAGGAGGCACAGCTGGTTGGTAGCGAAGCTGGGATTCGAACTCACACTGCTCCGCTGGCCTTTCCCAAGGCGGGCCTTTCCCAGCTGTCCCAGGCCCCGTCCTTTTCCATCAGTGCCCGAACCCCGAACTCAAGCTGATCGGATCCGAGGGGGCTGAACCAACCAAATGGTTTCTGCTGAGGATTTTCCCTGCCAAGTTCCTCCAAGTGGTGGGAACAGGACTGAAAACGGTTACTAAGGGACATCTGTGTTCCCACATGAGGCCAGAGTCTGCAGGCAGACCCAGCGACACAGAGACAGAACGTGGGGAGCTGGGAGTCCTGGGCTGGGAGGCCTTGAGGCCCTGCTTGAGGTCCACGAGATACCCTGACTGACCTCCCCTCCCCACACCACCCTTAAGTGAGCTGCAGGGGTTCCCTGCGATCACAGCCCTGCGCAGGGCTCTGGAGGCACTGACGTCGCCGGCAGGACACACAAGCAGGGAAAAGGAAGGGGAGATACTTACAGCCAGAGCCGGACCCCGAGTACAGGTCGTCCAGCTCATCATCGGGGAAGGAGTCATCGTCCCCAGAGCCCTCGAGGTCCACAGGCCTCTCAAAGTTCTCACTGCGCCAGCGCTGAGTCTGGGGAGGGCAGAGACAGGCACAGGGCTCAGCACCCGAGGCCAGCACCCTGGACACACCCAGGGGGACAACAGACACACTCACAGACCAGGTGACAATGGGGGAACGGCATCAGGTGTGGCCTCCAGGTGGGCAGAGCCAGGATGGGCCCAATCCCCACTTTCTGACCACCCAGGGGCCGGGTTGCAGCCCCACCTTGCTGCTGGCCACCACTGGGGACCCATCACTCCCCTGTCCCCTGATCAGAACTGCCGGGTGGCACGACCAGGTTTAGAGCCAGAAAGCTGGATTCGGGTCCTGGCTCCATCGCTTACTAAATGTGTGGCCTGGGGCAAGTGACCCAGGCTCTGTGCCTCGGGTTACTCAGTCCTCACAGCAAACAGCCCTGCTCAGCACAAGTTAGCGTTATTCTCAACGTGGCCAGCGTCACAGACCCTCTTCCACCGCGGACAGAAGAGAGGCCCAACTGCCCAGGTCACCAGAGAGCAGGCTCAGCGTGGGACCCCAAGTCCCGCACCTTGAAATCCCAAAGGCCAGGCAGTAGTCCCATCAGACAGACATGGCACCTGGGGCTCTGGGAGCGAATTTCTGTGGATAAAGGTGGGGGGCAGGGAGTGCAGCTCTGGCCCTGGATCCTCCCAAACACTAGACGTCAGCACCCTGTCACCTCCCACAAAGGCTCTCAGCCGCGAGTCAGCTCAGGACCTGAGGCAGCCTCCAGGGTCTGCAGGGGTCAGGAGAGCTGAGAGGGGCCTTCCGGGGGTCAGCTCACCAGGCCCCAGACTCTTCCTACTGTTAGAACCCCAGAGGACAGGGAACTGGGGCTCCTGGGTCCAGACTGTCCCCCCTTACTGCAGCCCTGGGCTGAGAGCCAGCACAAAGGACATCCATACAGAAGTCAAACCCCCTGGGAGGGGAGGCGTGGCCCTGCCTCCAGCCACACCTGGACCCTGATTCCAGACTGATCCCAGCCACAGTCCCTGCCTCCTGAGCGCTTTCCAGAATAAGGCAAGAGACTCCAGGTACTCTGATCAGAGGATCAGCACTTGAGTATTAAACAGCGAAAGAGAGAGAGAATGGCAGAGGGAAGAAGACACAAAGGCTCCGAGGGGGGCCTGTGCATCCAGGGGGGCGTGTGTGCCCAGGGCCGCCCTCCTGCCCGCCAGCCTCCTCCAGGGCCCCTCTACAGCCTTCAGTCACTGGGCTCCAGCCACCTGGCCCCCTTCTGCTTCTGGAACAGGCCTAGTCTCTACTGCCTTTCGCTCCTGCTGGTCCCTCCATCTAGAACACTCTTCCTGGCCCTCCTTTTATCCTCCGACTTTGTGCCAACTCCTACTCCTTCTTCTGAGAAGCCCTCCTGCTTTGACGTTTCAGCATCTTGTGCTTCTGAGTTCACATCTCACTACTGCGAGCTGTGCCTGCTCACGTGTGCACTGGTTTGGTGACTGTGCTCACCCCACTAAACGGCGCCTCGGTGAAGGCAGGGCCCTGTCTGGCACACAGTAGGTGCTCAGGAAATGTCCACCCAGCACAGAACTTCACGTCCACCCGACGACTTTATCTGAGGCGGAGGCTGCGCATCTGCAGTTGGACTGGCATAATGCCATGGAGGGTATGTGAGCAGGCGAGGGTGGTGGGCACTGTGTTCTGTGCTCAGCCCCCTCTGGAGTTCCTACAGAGTGAGAGAGAGGATCCCATCCTGGCTTCCTGCCCCCAGCCTCGACCACCTGCTCCAAAGCCCTACCCAGGCCAGCCAGGCAGGGGGCCAGGAGAGTCCTCTAACCCCTGCCCTTGTTCACACACACACACACACACACACATACACACACGGTCTCAAAGTAATGAATTAATCAGTATTTACTTGCTACCAGTGAGTCATGGAGTGGAACAATTAGTGTAATTGCTCCCGGGACTAATTGCTGGGTCTTCCTCTGGCTTAGACATTCCAGGAGCTCAGAGCAGCCACCATCCTCCTTCCCCCAGCTCTGTCTGTACCCCCACTGCACCCCAACCCCCCAGGACCTGGGGTAAGGGGCTGGAAGGCTCCCTACACTGGCAGCCTCCAAACCTGGGCTAGCCCAGCTCGAGTCCCTTGGAGACGCTGCTCAGTTCAGCAAACCACCTGAAACCAGAGACTGCAGCTCCGGCCCAGGGCCACCCAGCAGGATGGGGACTGGGCAGGGACCAGGGCACAGGCTGCACTCCTGTGTAGGGCCCTCCTGTCTTTCCATCCTCCCAGGCAGGCCAGGGAGACCTCTCACTGGGAGGAAGGGTCTAAAAGTCTGTGGTCCCTAGGGACTCCCAAACTGGGATAAATGTGAAGGCCAAAACAGGGGGTCCTCACAATTCCTTGGTGACAAGTGCCACCCAGCAGCCCCTGAGACCCTGCTCCCAGAAAGACCTGCAGGAAAATCCAAAGACCCCTACCCCAAAGCCACACAGACCCTTGAAATGACACACCCAGAGACACAGGGAGAATGTACACAGACACAACCTGGACACACACTCACCTAAAGCCAGCCAGAGAGGTACCTGTGTTGGTGTGCCTTTGGGGGCAAACAGGCACATGCATGGGGGTGGCACTGGGTAGGGGTGCACGCTCTGCACCTCTGAGGCCCAGAGATGAGCATGGATCCTCCTGTGAACCCATCAGCCTCCACTCAGGTAGTTCTCACCTAGATACTATTCATCCCCAGCTCAGTAGCCATTGACATGACAACCGTTACCATGACGACCATGCTAAGGACCAGGAGCTCCAGCTCCCCACAGAGATGGGGGGGCAGGAGAGGGAGCGATCAAGGAGGAACGGAGAGAATGACAGGGAGGGGGGAGGGCAGAGACATGGGACGAAGAAGCAGGGACTGAGGAAAGCCAGGGGTCAGAGGGGCACAGGAGGAATCGAGGGAGGACTCGCTGTGTGAAAGAGAAGGCGAGAGTGGGAAGTGGAGGGAGAGAATTCTCTCACATCTTAATTTAGCCTCATGCTCATCAGACAAAGCTGGGGAAGGGGCCACCTCAGTGATTTTCCAAACCTGCATCCAAGAGACCATTCTTTCCGAAAAATAAGCAGCCCCAGACGGGGTGGGGGAGGGGTGGCCAACGGCCCAATCACCCCTGAAGTGCCCTGGGAAGCTAAATGCTGGGAACCCCTGTGACTGTGGGGGTGGGAGCTGGGGTGCAGAATGCTATGTTGCCCAGCACCTCCCCCCAAGGTGACAGGTGCCAGCTCCACCCCTCCCTGGGCCAGCTGGGGACCAGGGCTCAGTGGGGCCCTCCCGGACCGCTGCAGGGTGCTGCTGGTGGCTGTAGCCCAGGGGGTCAGAAAGGACAGAGAAAAGAGATGGGGGTGGGGAACTGAGCCTGGGAGGCAGCAAGGAAAGCCTCAAAAGTCACAAAATACCAGAGGAGGGCGGTGACAAACAGCCTTTGACCCCCAAACGACCTCACATTTGCATAATCCATGCATAATTAGCATAATAACTATTCCATTCCCTTAAAGGAGAAGTGAATCTGAACGCCCCAGGACCCTTGGCCTCCCCCTGACCCTCACTGCATCCCTCCAGGTAAACTCACACCCTCCTGCATGCCACACACACACACACACACACACACACACACACTGCAGCTAACAATCAAGCAACATCCTCATGCACACACCACATATCCCAGCACACACAGCCACGCCCTACAGAACACACAGCTACACACACACACACACACACACACACACACACACACACACACACAATTATGAGCAACATTTACTGACCCCAACCTGTGTGCCCACGTTAGCTCATGGACAACAGAGAGCCCAGCACACACCATCCCATGATCCCCCACTTACTATACCCCTAGCCACACATGTACCCACAGACACACACACACTAATGCACCCTGCTCCACACCTCCCACACCCACAAATAACCCACACAAACGTCAGCAAAATCTTATCTCTACATGGGTGGCACACACCTCCCCCAGGGCACACACCAATCCTTCCCCATGTCCAAGCACATCACTGTACATGGCCAGTGAAGGTCTGAGATCCCCAGCAGAGCCACCAAAGGGGCTCAAGTGGGTTCTTGAGAGCTCTGCCCACCACTGCGGGGGCCTGCCCGGGGTCAGGCACCGGCAGCCCACCCCGCATGACTCCTTCAGCCCTCACAGACTCCCAGAGTTTCACTGTCCCCTTTTCACAGACGCAGACACTGGAGCTGGAGTTTAGAACTGAGACCTGAACACAGGCCTCGGTCTCTGCAGTCCTTGCCCAGGGCCAGCACCACCCACTGCTCACCCAGGCCTCCTGCACTGTGACCCACAGCCCCACTCCTCGCTGCATGAGCTCGGCTCAGAACTGCGCAGAGCCACCCACACACACCCAGTGTCCACGCACACGGTACACACACTCTAGCACGCAGCAAATACACCACGAGCTCTCACAGACCATTCCACCCATGCGTCCCTGAACAGGCACCCACCCCACCATGTGCATGACCCTCTCAAATGCCTACCAACAAGCCCTGCATCCCCAGGCACATGCACTGTGCACATCACCAGGCACACCGCCCTCCGGGTACACACCAGAACACCAGTACCAGGGTGAGACACGGCACCCTTCCCCGTGGACTGACGTGGCCCCGCCAGGCCTTTCCCTCACTGTGCCCACACCATTATTCGTCTTGAACTGACCCCCACAGCCTCACCCCAAAGAGCACCTAAGGCTCCCACAGCAATCAGAGGGGCCCCTCACTCACCACTCATCCCTCCCAGGTCCTCTTCCTAGAGTTTCAGGTGAGGTGCCCAAAGCAGCTAGATGTCAGGTAAGTCTCCTCACTTCACAGCCACTGGGCGTGGGGTACACAGCCAAGGAGAAAGCCGGGGCACCTCCCTCTGCCCTCAGCCTTTTGCCAAGATCAGAGGTCTGGGCTCTCTCATGCCCAAGCCCCACCACCCCTCCTCCCCCAGCATGAGCCTCCCAGACAAACAGGATAGCACAGAAG